GTGTACCTGCTTTATATATGCCACCCCCCCTACTTTTTGGGCTTGGAAATTTTGGAAAAAAGGGTGGCTTATACATGGGGAAATACGGTATATATATATATATATATATATATGAAATTAACGTAAATGGAGATCAGATAACATGTTTACGTAGAACTTATGGCTGACCCAATTATAGACCGAATCTTCCACCACTTTATTGCTTTGTTTTATATTCGCAACATTCAAAGATTTTTTAGTATTATCACCTTTTGAATCAGAGCTTGTGGTGGCTAAGCTTCACTTTACACTTCTCTATCACACAGAGCCGACTCAACAGTTCAATACTAATCGGAAGTCGAAATTAATGTGCCAAAAAGTGTGTAGTAGAAATAATTCTCGGCTGAATATTCCTTCATCAATAGATCGCATGTAAAAGTGTTTATATCGGGCTCTCCGAGAATGATGGAGCACACTTCATGGCCAGGTAGCCCATAACGAGCCATTACACTCTGAATGACTGTTACCAACGAAAGCTGGTGGCCACACCTCAACATACGATCTTAATGAGATATTCCATGATTTGATTGTCTATTTTATGCTTGTCCTACATGTCTGTATGCGAGTCAAATTGATGTTGTAACTGGAGTTCATGTGGCCACAACTTTCATCTTTAAAAATAAACCAGCGTATTATCCCGCAATCTTGAGGCGTTTTGGCTTCGTGGATTCGCGTGCTTGAGTGTATGCAAAATTCACGAGTTGGTTGGCTATTTTGTGTCCGAAACCAGAACAGCCTAGTAAAATCTTCTACTCAATGGCTCTTCCTGTTCCATTTCTCTCTCTAATTCTATTCAGCAGCAAGACATAGTTCTTGCTTAGTTTTCTACATCTATTCCTCTTATTCAGATTGTTCTTTGCTTTGATAATTTGAATCGACTCCCTGATCTGCTTAGCTGTGAAGTCATCGTATCTGGCAAACAGTTGGGATTTAGACCACTCTACATGGTGTCCTGTATTGACTACATTCTCAGCCACTTCCGATTTCTGAATCTATGAACCTTTGCAGGCAGTTTTGTCTCGACAAGTCTCTCCTACATGGGCATAACCTCGAAGCAGTCTGATCCATAGGGGGCATCTAAAGATTATCTAAAACAAGGCATGACCAAGGGCAGCGTTGGCATTTCTTCAGGTATGGTCCTGAAATTCCATTTCCTCGCATTTGTGTTTCCCATCTAATAACAAATAATACATATCTTAATTTTGATGGTAAATTATATGAATAAGTCTGGGGTCTAGCTATGGGATCATGTTTGTCTCCAATTGTAGCTAGTAACTACATGGCTCAATTGTATGTGATTTTTTTCTAAAACGCTCCTATTCCCGAAATTATTGGTCTGATATATGAATGACTACTTTGCTATCTGGTAACACGGCAGAGTGCTTGAATGACTTTCTTGGTTTAATGAATAAAAAGAAGAATAAGTTACCATTTTTAGATGTCCTAGTTAGTAAAGAATGTAGCAAACTGGGTAGATATGTATATAGGAAACCCATAAATGTTAGTTTCCTTCTTATTTTCTTCTCGAATCATACTTATGGTGTTAAAGTAGGTATAATGAAATTAATGACAATAAGGAGTTTATGTCTAGCGGATGTAAACTCTCCAGGAACATGAGCTAGAAAGGCTAAAAAAGGTCTTAGTTGAGAACAATTATCCGTTAGAATTAATTGTTATAAATTTCAAAATAATATGAAATAGAGAGAAAGAACAAAACAAGGAATTAAGCAACTCTTCGACCAGGTGGTAGTGCTTATGTGAGAAAGACTTGTCGACTCATATATAAGAGGTTAGCAGAGTACAAAATCACCCATAAAGTTCCATAGATCCATTGATTGGAGGTGGCTAAACATGTGATCACTACAGGACACCAGATAGTGGTCTAAATCCCAACATTTTACCAGATATGGGGACTTCACAACAAAGCGGAAGATCAGAGTCTATTGAAATTAACAAAACAAAGAGCATCCTAAATGAGAGAAACGAATGTAGGAAAGTAAGCAAGATTTATCTTTTGCTGCTGAACAAAATTAGAGAGAATGAAAGGTGATAGGAGCCTCTGAGTAAGAGGATTTTACTAAGTTAAAATCTGGTTTCGGACATAGAATTACCAACAAACTCGTAAGTGTTTCATGCACGCACACGAATCCACATTAGTGTATTTACATGGACAAAAGCTGTGACCATACCCGATCATGTAGGGCAAGCATAAGAAAGCCAACCAAATCACAGAATCCCTCATTAAAATCGCAAAACGAGGTATAAGTAGGACTCCAGTTGGCCACCTTTCTTGGCTTAGTGTTTTTGCGATTATTAGTAAATAATGACTTCTGGCCCTGATGATGTCCGTCACGTGACGGATGAAAGTTCGGCAGGAAGTGATAGTGGCCGTAGGACTGAGCCGAGGATTTTTTCGAACTATTCAACGTACAAAAGGCCAAGACAACCCTACTTCGGTATCAGGAAGCTTAATAACCGATCCGCACCACCCACCTTTAAACGAGATTTCAGTGACATTGCTATCAATTTAAAGAGATCCAATCCTGAATTAGTACCTGATTCTATAGGCCAAATGGGATGATTTAAACACCAATAGTTGAGGAAGATCTAGTCTCATGTCCGCTGCCATGGTATTCGTGGTTTCTAGCATTGGACCATTAGCAGTACCATTACAGTAACAAGTAAGTTGATAAGTTATAACTCTGTGCTCACGATTGCGCCTTACTGACGATGCCGGCGAAAGGTTTGGTAATGTACCCAGCTGTAAATCACTAATAGTATGGCAAAAGACAAGGGATTAGGCACGTTCCACAAGGTCTCCCTGACGCTCTGACCAAGTTGCGAAAACAAAGTCGAGACAACACTAGAAAGCTAAAGGAGCATCTGATCGAAGAGGTATTCATATCTACGAACCTTAGTCGAATTTTCACCAATGAGATAAATTGACCTCGGAATGGTGTTGAATTTATTGCAGCCTTGCCTCAAATTAGGACCTTATTTTCGACGCCTTCTAGGCCTCCTTAGCACTTGCAATGAAACTTTACAGCGGATCGCCACCACCAAACCATCATAATCACGAGTTTTGGTTATTCATTAAGTAGACGTGACGTTTAAGTCAAGCCCGAACCAACTTCACGGGGTTGTTGATTATGAAAACATTTCAATAGAGATTTATTTTCAACAAATAGATTTCGAGACCACAATTAAATTTTTAATAAGAACGGAGTGACAAGCCATACTCACCTGACTAGGCTCAGGTATTATGACCAAAATGACCTTAAGAATTATTCTTAATCTGAAATTTGATCTTGGTTGGAGATAGATCAAAAGACGATTCCATCAATACTTGTACTTCATGTTTGGGACGACCCAAAAGATGTCTAATTTTCTAATGTAAGAGAATGCTGGCTCACGACAGACTAGTCGGTGTTTGTAGGTTAAATAAAGATAGAATAGTTGGGATCCTCCATTGCCCAAGCGGATCTCGTGGCCGCTCATTAGGCTCTAAAAGTATTTAAGGACTAGCAGCATACTTTTCCAGCATTGATGAATTGACATGTATTTCTAAACATTAGCCTGCACCAGCAGCCCATCAGTGGCATACGATTAGTTAACTTAGAGCAAAGAATAGGGCACCTCATTTAGAATGCGGGTTAAGCATCTTGGAGCGTTACAAAGCTGCTAAGGGATAAAGTACTAATTTTACCAGTTCCAATCTGATGCCTAAACTTACGAATTACATTCCTCAAGAAAATTTCCTTTTATCCCATCATTACCCTAACTACCTGGAAATACTGGGCGTACAATAAATAGATCAAGGAAGGGGATTTGGGAGTGTGATATAACCAGGTATGCATTAGTCCCCTGAAGAGTCAAGACTTCAAGGACTTTATTAACCAAGTCTGTTATGTATTTGAGCCATTATTTGCCCTAATTCTTCTGTTGATCATACAGTCGACGGCAGGTTTAGCGGCCCCGTCCACACTGTAGTTCTCAAATGATTTAGTGCTAAATCCTCCAGTCAAAGAGGAAATGGTTCGAGAAAGGATAAAGGAAATAGGTACTCGAAGGCACGATTTCCAGAGTCAATTGACTAGCATAGAAAGAACATAAATGGTACACTGATGGATGGTCATGCCTCTTCGTGTATGAGGATAGAAAGTGTCAATTTACTTAAGACTAAAAGTAAAATTAGAGAACGGATCGGATGATACGAGACAAACAATAAAACATACGAAAAGCAAGATACAAGCACCAGAGCAACGATATAATTTGAAGTCGAATTACAGGCCGCCGACTTATTTCTAATGATATAGGACAAGACACTGGCAAATCAGACTAGTAGGTAAATAAAGGATAAGTAATAGGGAAAAAATCACACATTCTATTAAGGTTTAAAATCAGTATTTAGTTGAAATAGTCAATCCATGCATATCCTTAATTTCAGATTTCAGAGCCTAAGAAGTAAGTAATAAAAGTTGGACCAACCTCCTTCACCGCCCTATGCTGAGATAATACAGACATACCTCCAAAATCCTCCGACTCAATACGTATTTTGTACATTGCACCGCACCCACCTAAAAATTCACAAAATTTTTTTCTTACCGCTAACATCAGAGACCTCGATAAGACGAGCTTTTACGAAGGTTTTGGCAAGGATTTTGGTAAGACGGGTCTCACCCACAGTTGCCAGTAGTCTGGCAAAAAGAGCAATGTTACAAGGTTTTTTTCCAAATACTGGCATGAACATCTACCAGGAAAATATATTTTATAAGAATAAAAATAAGAGCAGCAAGAACTAGTAGGGCTAAACATATTTATTAGGATAAAAGTAAGTCTAAAGCTGATAATGAGGTTTATTTCCAGCGCATATTGTCAAAATCGAATTTATGGGCGTTTCCACTCCATTTGCTTTGGGTTGTGAATAAGGATTTGTAAAGAAGAGCCTCCTTATATTTCTTATCACAAAGTACATCTTTCTCGAAATCGAGCACTGAAGATATCAACAAATAAAGGACATACCGAAATATAAATAAAATAAGTAGTACGACATGGCAAAACCCATAACACCGAGAGCCCAAGATAAACCGAATTTCCAATCAATATTAGGTGCAGTTACTTCAGCAATCGTTCTGCGAAAGCTAAACCTGTATAGCTGTCTCTTTTCTTCTGTTGACAATTTGCTCCAATCTCCCTTTTCTTTTTCGACCAAGGCAGATATCTATAGTGTTTATCACTAAGCAAACTACCTTATCAGTAAACTCTTGGTACCGAATCGGTGGAAAGGGGAATGCGGCATCATCATAGTAAATTGGAATGCCATTGACACCATAACCGACTATTTGTCGATTTCCCAAGTGTGGATAGTATTCCTTTTCTTTAGCAGAAAGAACTGATGCAACATTTCTAGTATTAAGTAAAAAAAAGGATTTAGCGGAAGTCCCGGTGTATCGAACCAGGGCCATCGCCAAGTACGAGAAAGTTGGAGAGCGCGACCTAGAAAAGATGTTTCTTGATAGTTTAAAACAAAAATCAAAATTACATAAGTTAAAATTTTACTATAAATATAAATATAATTTTATATTGAGTTAAAAATTTATATTTACTAATATTAGTATTTACTTATTCTTTTTTACTTGCTAAAATTGAGATTTTACGCCAAAACTAGTGAGGCTGCAATTAGGCACACTATTTTTGCAAGTGTCTCTTCACTTTTAACTAACTATTATTTCATCATAGAAACAAAGCTTAATATATTGTAAAATGTGCTTTGGCCGGATTTTTCTTTCGCTTCACTTAGCTTTCGCAACTTAAATGTATTGTTTTAGTGACCTAGTTCAACAATCCACTTCGTCAGTGACTCTCGCTATTTTCAGCACCAAGACACAACTCATTAAAGAGACAAGTGGAGTCAATCGCTTGAAATACTTTCTGTCGAACGATTGTGTTATCCGTTTTTAATCTTCCTACTCCCTATCAATGTATCTTACTCTCTCGCTATCACAACATCTGACTTGTTTACATTATAATAATTTTGAGATGTCCCCTTTGCCGTGGGTTTAGTCAGACATTATCAGATCTGCCCTCTTGATTTCCTTCAACTCTAGCTCCTTCTACTCCGACTTTGACATATCAAAATATTCCTAATTACTTCTGAAATCCTTATCTTATCCCATTGCTTGACTGATTTTATTCGGTTCAAGTTACTATGTATGTTTGGTTAATGGAAGATGTACTATGCTTAAAAAGAAGGGATAGTACAACCGTTCGGCATAAATTTGGTCAATGTTTACACTTTATTTGTCTCGTTGACGAGTATTATCTTGATTCTATGCATAGCTGGACTTTGACAATGTTGAATAAAATGCCGGCATGACCTTGAAATTTTATCAAGTCGACGCTCTAAAACTTAGAATTATTATAATTACTTTATTCCAGGACTTCGGACAAAGTAAGATAAGCTATGTAGCCCTGACAACATGATACAGCTAAGAAATAAGGTAAAACGACCTTTATTATTTTACTCCACTTCTTGAAGTTTATCATCTTCCGTCACTTTGATGCTAGATCCAGTGTTACATCGAGTTTTATAAATAATGGGCTAGTAATTGCATATTAATGAATTTATGTGGTTCTGGCCAATTTAACATAAAATGCATATCCATTTCATGTAGAACTTTTAGGCTAATCAACAAAAAAAGAATTAATGCACATAAATCTGACAGCAAGAGGAAACTTGTTGGATTTAAAAATATAATTTATAGAAGTAGCTTATCTTTGCCAATCAAGAAAACTGACGATTTAAAAGGTGTGACAATTTACTTCAAATACTGTCGGAAACTGTATTCACATGATTTAAATGAGAAATGTAATGGATTTTTGAGTTATCTAAGTATGCATTTGCTATTTCATTGCAGAGTGATAGTGCTTTAATAGCTTTATGAACTCGGATATTAGTATACATATCAAGACTAACAAAAAAGACCCTCTTTAATATTCTTTTGATCTATTAATAGAAAAAATTCTTTGAGAAGAGTCTTAACCAAACTACATGATACATGATCCAGTTTCCTATTAGAGTAAATAGGTAAATCTGGACGTCTACCAAGAATACAATATCTAGGGACTGCATTATTTAAAATACAAATTTTTAAAAATCTAATAGAATTGGCTTGCTAGGATATAGATTTCTTGGTTTTCGTATAGCCATAAGAAAGTTGATAAGAATTCATACCATACGTACATAGTATATGCGAAGAAAAGTTGGGTTTCGAGGAATCTCTGTTGCGAAAATTAATTGTTAAGCTTACTTCTATTTCGAGTGAAGGTGTTTGGTGAAGAGATTAGAAGGTCGGCTCCACCAGAAGACGAAGACGAATTTCTCTTGACCAGCTGCCGATCGGATTTACTGGAACATTCATGATGACGCTGTTTCCGAGCTAATCTGCTTCAATTTCAGTGAAAAAGTGCTAAGCATTTGCCCGTCATATGACGAACATCATCGGAGCAAGGTATCATCGTCACAGCCAAATTAAAGCTAAGGAGTCAAGCAAATTCACCGATAAAGCCTTAAAAAGCAGTATATATACTCCATATCTGGCCTCTGAAGATAAATAAAAATTACTTGTGCTTAATTAATAGACTAAAGGATAGAGGGAGTTGAGCTGCCTGCAAAATGGAAGCCACGCAACTCATCTTTTCTTGTCTTGGTTCTAATCATAGTCACTTCTCTGTACTTTTATCTCACTTTTTCTTTTTCGCCTTGAGACCCGAAACAAAAAAGACTCATCAACAAAACCAGACGAGCGTCCGAACTTGCGAAATCGGAGTGATGGCTATAACTTAAATGAAAAAAGAGGGAGATAGGGGTCATCAAACCTTGATTGCCAAAAACAGACCTTCCTTTTTGCTGTCCTAATTACTTTGAGCCATTAATTCGAGTTTTGTGGATTAGGGAACACAAAGCGGCACATACAAATACAGAGATAGACACACTTACATGCATCGAAGTTGACATATGACCTTAACTAACCAAATCCCTTTATGCTTGATCAAAGAGACCAGATTTAGAGTTTATTTACCACTTTTTAGGGATTTGCCGGTGAGTTTTTTTTGACTATTAAGCTTTCATTTGATTGTGACGATGTTACCTCGCTCTGATGATGTCCGTCATATGACGGACGAAAGCCTAGCACCTTTTCACCTGAATCGAAGGAAATTGCCTCGAAAACAGCGTCATCATTAATGCTCTAGTAAAGCCAATATACAGCTAGTCAAGAGGAAGCCACCGTAGCCTTATGGTGGAATAGACCTTTGGATCTCTTCACCAAACACTTTCACTCGAAATTGAAGTAAGCTCATCAATTTATTTTCCTAATAAAGAATTGTGAAATAGCGTTATGAATTGGCCTAACCTGAAACCGAAACAGTTTTGTATATAATTTGCCACTGTTGATATGTGCAAACTACTCCTCAATGCATAGTCCCTTGACGAAGCAAAATGCATGCTGAGCGTTCGTCTGTTAAATGAAAAACATCATCAGCACAGGAAACCATTCTCAAGCATAATTTAGGTTTACGTGTCGCCAATTTACGAACCCCTTCCACTTTGTCTTCATAACAAATGAAAACTACGCCTACTCTATAATTTAATTTTAGGGAGAGACGTAAAGTAGAGAAGCAGATAACGATAATCATTTATAAATACAAACCTCACTACCAGACAGAACAGTAGGAGAGAAAGTCAAGTATGAGGATATTATAGGAATATCAAGGTCCGCCTTATGTTTTCCCTTTATAGAATGGTTATTAGTGTTCGGGAGATTTTGAAGTAGGATTTAGTTCTTGCCATAATAGTTAAGATAATTTCCTGCATATGAATATGACGTAGGGACATTCCAAAATATTTTATTAGTGTTATTCTCAGCTCCCAGCTATAACTCATACGTCGAAGATGTACGAGGATAGAGGAGGGAAAGCTACCAAATCCGCTTAACAGAAAGTTGGTTAAGGGATGTACTTCTCTTTTATATTACATGAGTTATTTGAGCTATTTTCATCCTATTACATTTAAGGTAGAAAGGAATAGAGTATAATTTTCCGACAACGATATGAGTAGATCTTACATTTCCGTTAGATTTCAGTTAGTCTTGCTTCCCCAGAAGATATTCTCATCCAGGGTGGACTTCAGTTTCGACTTCGCCTAGGCCTTATCAACACCCCCATCGGGACTCGAAAATGGCACGTAGCGTGTTATTTCGACACCTTAACTGCTACGCAACATTTCCACGAGTGCCCTTAGGTCACAGGGTGGAAGTGAATTTTAA